AGATGGGAGAGTTGGAAGGGGTCGACCTCAGCGAACGTACCTCAATCAGATTGAGGACGTTTTTAGCAAAGGCCAGCTTAGGAGTTCCCTAATTAAGTTAATAACAATGTACCTACCTATATAGTTTAAGTTTAAAAAATTTGGCTCTCGAAAGAAATTTCAATCGTTGTACTGTTGATATTTGGCTCTGTTGACTAATGAGTTTGCCGACCACTGCTATAGGACCCCACGTTATATCAGGGCCATGGGAATGCATCCAAGGGCTCCACAGATGCCCCATTCCACACGCTCATTGAGACCTGGAATCCCTTCACAGGGGATAGGGTTTTATTTCACACTGATCAGGCCCACCGCTGACTGATACCAGAATCTTAGCAGAGTGGTTTCAGTGACCCTGGCAGGGAACATTATAGGGATGTGGAGCTGGAAACACGAAAAGGCTGAAGGAGGAGAGGCAGGAGCACGTGCCTTCATCTCCTTCAGCCGTTTTTCCAAAGCCACCCCTGCTGGAAAATGCCATGAACAGATCACTGAGATCCAGATTAAATAGGCCTTGTTATTCTTCCTTTTATCAAATATAAAAACTTCTATATTGTTCCCATTTTTAGGTATGTACCTGGACAAAGAATGAAAAATTAAAAACAAAACCATACAATTTTTTTTTTAAAAAAAGGCCACAAAATGCCTGGCTGATATGGCTCAGTGGTTGAGCATCAACCTATAGACCAGGAGGTCACAGTTCGATTCCCTGTCAGGGCACATGCCTGGGTTGCAGGCTCCATCCCCAGTGTGGGGCATGAAGGAGGCAGCTGATTAATGATTCTCTCTTATCATTGATGTTTCTATCTCCCTCTTCCTCTCCTTTTCTCTCTCTGAAATCAATCTATATATATAAAAGCCTAAGCAACCAGATGGTAGCTATGACATGCACTGACCACCAGGGGGCAGACGCTCAATGCAGGAGCTGCCCCCTGGGGGTCAGTGTGCTCCCACAGCCAACCTCCCACAGCTGGCCAACCTCCCGGGGTCCCTCCCCCAGGCTGGCTGTCCCGATCGACCCCAATCGCTGGCCAGGCGGAGGGACCCCACCCGTGCATGAATTCATGCACTGGGCCTCTAGTAAAAACATATTTTATATTTTTTTAAAAAGGCCACAAAACATATCTCAAGATATTTGCCCCCTTAACAGAGCTATCCAGATTGAAGTTCCTTAGTTTAAATCTTCACTGACCTGACTTCCAATAATTCATGGCGTCAGAATTCCCTAAATGCCAGACATGTAAAAAATGTAACTGCTTCTGTGTTGTCCAGCTGGTTGGTACCCAAGATTGTTCAACGGATAGACTGAATTGAAATACAGTGGGGCCTTGACTTACGAGTATCCCGACTAACGAGTTTTTTGAGATACCAGCTGTCTCTCCGCCGATTTTTTGCATTGAGTTAATAGAGTAATTTGAGTTAACGAGCTCCTTAACGAGCTCCTTAATGAGCTCGGTCTCGGAACGAATTAAACTCGTAAGTCAAGGCCCCACTGTAGTTGTAGAGAAAGCCTACATGTTTGGTGGGGACAGGGAAAAAGAAAAAGGTGCCACCAAATCTTACCTACACAGTCATACCGGCCACTGACATATTTCAGTTCAAAACCAACATGACATTTGCAGTAGTAGCTTCCAAATGTGTTCACACATCTCCGATTGTAGGGGCAGACAGCTTTGCCAGAGGCACATTCATCGATATCTAGGATGGAGAACCAGAAGGTGTCAGTGACAGCAAGAAAAGCTCTCTCCCTCTGAAATACACATGCACATGCATGCACACGCACATTACATGTTTGCTGAGTGGATTAATATTTTTCCTGCTCTGTAAACTGCATAGCATACACAGTTTTTGAAAACACTCAGACAGCTACGCTTTAAGCAAACTGAACACACAATCATTTAAATTTTGCATTTTACAAAATAATTATTTCATTAGCAAGCTCTCCCAAGTCCTGCAATATTGACCCAAATCACAGAAATGTGTATAAGAATAGACTTATACACAAATTGTGGGGCAAGCCCGGCCAGTGTGGCTCAGTGGTTGAGTGTCGACCTATGTACCGGGAGATCACGGTTTGATTCCTGGTCAGGGCACATGCCTGAGTTGTGGGCATGATCCCCACTAGGGCGCCTGCAGGAGGCAGCAGATCCATGATTCTCTCTCATCATTGATGTTTCTATCCCTCTTCCTCTCCCTTCCTCTCTCTGAAATCAATTAAAAAAAACATTTAAAAAGACTCAGGTTTTGATTTCACTTTCAGATATCAAATCAAATAGATATTGTGTTGTTATTTTAAGACGGTGCTGGCTTATTGTTTCTTTTGCATTTTTAAAATAATTAATAAATAAATGATGGACTGACAGCAATTATTTTTCAGTGATTACTTTCCTGCACACCCTCTTCTCCTTCCAATAAAAATGGCACCTGAACAATCAAAGAGGTGGGGGGTGTGTGGATTCAGTTTTATCAGGAATTAGTCTTGTCATAGAAACCTTCTTTTACTACAGAATACTAAACTTGTCATTCTAATGAAAGCTGTTTGATTACTCTCAAAGAGCAGAGCCAAATTTTTAATTTACATGATTTTTAAAAAGTGTTTAACTGAGGTAGGACCTATTTGGCTGAGCTTTTTAAATGCAGTTTATCAAATTATGTATGTTTACGATAAATAAACATCCAGCACCTTGACTGAAAAATATTTCTATTGTAGTAAGGAATTAAGAATATTAAATCAGACTGATATTTCCTTATTTAAATAAACAAGATTAATAACTTTTTCAATGTTCTGACTTGGTTTGACATGGCTTATTAATGCTCTGTGCTCCTTGCTCTGAATATTATGTATATTTGGTGCAATATAATTCAGTACAATACTATGAGGATATGCAATTTGGTGGCTGAAGTAACATGTGCAGGATAAATATACTAAAAGAAAATTCTTTTTTTTTTTAACACTATGGCATTAAGCAACCCCCAAATAATAGAGGTGTTCTTTCTAGTATCCCAAAGTCTAGAGCATATGTGGGTAACAATGTTGTCTCAGAGCCGGACATAAGTCTGTACTTTTAGGAGCTTGCGATGTCTAGTCACCAAGATTGTATCAGTGAAAAAGGAGGAATTGAGCTCTAGCTGGTGTGGCTCAGTGGATAGAACATCGGCCTAAAGACTGAAGGGTTCTGGGTTTGATTCCAGTCAAGGGCACATGCCCGGGTTGTGGGCTCGATCCCCAGTAGGGGGCGTGCAGGAGGCAGCTGGTCAATGATTCTCATCATTGATGTTTCTCTCTCTCCCTTCTCTCTGAAATCAATAAAGATATATATATATGTATATATATATATAATATTTAAAGTTAAAAAAAAGAAAAAGGAGGAATTGAGTAAAGGGATCAGTCAAGGGCAGGGGATGGGGCATGGAGGCGATGCCTGCTGCCTTACCGATGCAAACTCTTCCATTTGGGGCCAGGTGGAGTCCCGAGGACGGACACAGACACCGTGGCCCTTCCTCCGTGTCTTCACAGCTGTACTGGCAGTATGTCATGGCACACGTCCTAGAGTCTGGAAAAGTAGGCAAGGATTAGCCTCCTCCCGAGATGCTAAATATTGCTTACTGAGAAACCACCTCAGAGTTCTGGGGTGTTACATGTAACACGTGGAATGGAATCTATATACATGCCTAATATGCAGAGTGTCCCCTCGGGAGTTCGACCAACCAGGAGTTAGACTGACTGGGAGTTCAATTGCTCGCTATGACATGCACTGACCACCAGGGGGCGCCGCAGAATGAAGGAAGGCCCCGGCCAGCAGCCAGCAGCCAGCAGGGACCCTACCCTTGCACGAATTTTGTGCACTGGACCTCTAGTTATAGGATAAGCTTCGTTGTTTGAGACCCAAATGGAATCTGGGCAGGGCAGTGCCTTGGTGACTGCATGGTCTGTTACGATGGCCAGTGTGTTGAATTTGACTGTCTTTGGGTAGGACATGCACCCCTCAGTTACCAGGCTGCATCTGCCTCTCCACCTGCCTGAGCTCTAATCACTTCTTTATGTCACCCGGCTGCTCTCTACAGGGTTGAAATGCAACCTCCGATGCAGGTGATCAATCTGAGTAATTAGGGCAGAAGAATCCATTCTAGACAGCTCTCCATGCATGTCTAGCCTCAGTGAGAGAGTCACTCGAGATATGAGACTTGGTCTTTTAGGTACCAGTTTTAAAACATGTGGCAGATAAAACTGATTGGCTGCTAGCCATTCTGGACCCGCTTTTCTCTTTATATTAACATCATCGAGGCTGAAAAGCCAGATACTTGTTTTTTTCCCAGTTTCCCTTGCAGCAAAGAGGAGTGACCATGTAACCCAGTTGTGGCCAAAGAGATGTACAGATGAGTCTGCTGGAGGGAGTGGGATTTCTGGAAAAGGTGCTGCTGTACGATAAAAGGGACAGTCATGACAGAGGTGTTCATTCACTGGCATCACTCCTTTCCTCTTTGTCTTGCCTCCCTTAAATGTATGTGTGATGTCTGGAGCTGCAGCAGCCATATTGTGACTCTGAGGCAACAAGTATGAGAATGAAATCAATACCCTGACGATGGCAGAGACTGCAGCTAGTAGCCAGCAGCTAGCAGCTAGTAGGGACCCTACCCTTGCACGAATTTTGTGCACTGTTGAGTGGTTGTGAAACTGCCTGCCTCTGGCTATTTTAGCAAATAAGATGATTTAGCTGGATTTTTCTGTCGCTCATTGCTAAACACAACTTATCTCACAAAAATGCCTTTCCTCAGCAGGAGTCAAGTATGTGTGGATCATAAGCTTCTACAACAGGAGAGCATGGCGCATATGCTCCCTTCATCCACCCCATCCATGGCATGCCAATCACCCAGCTGCACAAGAGACTGCAAGGAGCCAGGTGCAATACAATCAGCATCCAGGAGAGCGCTCGTGGCCACCGGGACACGCTGAGCTATAAACAGAGAGGCCCAGGCAACCGTTACATACACAGAAATAGACAAAGAGGGGGCAGGGCCAGATACACAGGCCAAGGTAATGTAACAAACACCCACGGATGGTTATCTTTCTAGTTTACTCTTCCTTCTCTTTAGTTGTCGCCTTTTAAAATTAATCTTCAAAATTACCTAATTCTTGCCATTTGGAGAAAGATATCTCTTTTGGCACTGACTGGGCCTTCATGGAATGTTTTAGAAACATCCATTAGCATGTATCTTTTCAGAAATGTTAAGTGATTACTGTAAAAGCCAGACTAGTGGCTCC